GCTCTGGCCTTCTTCAGGTGGTTGGAATGTCGAACTGAACCATTTATTTTGCTCACTGGTGTAGACTGTTCTAGTTCCACATGCCATAAATAAAGGGTCCAATTCAACATTCCAACCACCTGAAGAAGGACGGAGCATACAACGGCCGAAACATTGCAATAAATATGGTGACAAAGATGAGGACAATAGTCCGAATAATGTAAATAGTGTAAATAATACCTCATCTCAGAAATATAGACATCAACTTTTCAATTACACAGAATCAATACTACATAATTAGACTGTTATCTTCATCTCAGTTGTTCTTAATACAACATTTTAGCCAATCTTTTCTTCCGCCTTCTTCTCATATCTGATTTGGTTGTTTTGGTTGTCTTTGTTTAGCGGCATATCAACTATTTGCAGGTTATTTGTTGTTGAGTAAATAAGACACCCCCAGTAACACAAATGAACTAGGCAAGATGTCTTAAATAAAGAACTCAAATTGAGTCAACGGAAGTCTATTGGAGTCAGTCAAAGAGAATTTCTAGTGATGTCATGGTGAGTAGCCTTAGTGAGATAATATTATAATTGCTAAGAGCAAGTTATAATATTATTTAATACCAAAATCTAAATATTTTGTATATAATTTTATCTTTGGAAATAATAATGGTTTAGTGACACAAGTCTTACTAATTAACTCATAGCTTGGGGGAGAAGAGGTGGATTCATACCTTTCCAAAGGGTATTTGCATGCAAGTGAATATAATGAACCCAACTGGAATTGGAACTCAGCTCTCCAATTAAAGATTCCAAGTCATTAGACATTACACCACCTGCACATCCAAACTTACAGAATCTGGTATTCACTCACATCTAAGAATTGACCAGGCTCAGCATTGCTTAACTTTAGTGATTGTACAGGAAATGGTGCTTCAACATGATGTGGCTATAACCCTTTCGTAATATCTGAAGTTTTGAAATTAAGAATTTTCTTCATTTCACTTATTTTTCAGACAGTTTCCGTCATCTCAGTTGTTTTTTCACACAAGATTTCAACCATTTACATTCAGACTAATATCCTCATCTTTATTGCTATTATCACAACTTTTCAGAAATCTGCTCTCTGACCTCCTTGAAGAATCTGTCAATGCAAGTAACCTTCACAAAATTTCAAATTGAACCCTTTATTTAATCAATAGGTTTGAGTGTTCTTATTCTCCTATCTATGACTAGAGATATGTCTTGTCATGTTCTTATATAGCCCTGCTTGATCTGTTTCGATTGAGTTCAAGTAAAAAATGTCCAGCCCAGTTTGAGCCTGTACTGAACTGCCCAGGGACTGAACTCACAAGGCTATTGTCCCATAGGACTACAAGTGGCTTTATTGGCTTGGGGTGGCTATTCTTACTCTGTTCACTGATTTTCTTGATTTTCCATCTGGTGAGCCTTGACCATTTTAAAATGCTTCATTGTTGGATTCTGAATTAATGTGTCCAATGTTGTTCTTCTAAGGAATTTCTTTGTTTGCAAACAGTGTTCACTTTGTAGATGATGTTACTTTCAATCACTGTGAAGAATTCATTCACCCATATAACTTTTATTCCAGTATATCATTATACTGTTTTCTTATTTTATTGGTAGTTAGTGTGCTTAATAAGACCTATGGCAAGAATGGATTTTCTATCCCTCGCATAACTTTTATTTCAGCATAACTGTCAAACCCTCTTTCAGCTTCTTGCTTCCCAGTTAACTTTGATCTTCAAAATTTAAATGCAATGTCATTCGTTATCTTCTGTCTTCTTAATTCCTATTCTTTTATTGTCTTCTCTCCTTAATAGTAGTTTTTCTTATATTCTCTAACATTCAGTAACCTCTTGTGTCCTAGAGGCTTTATTGCTTTGCTTGGGGTGAAATGATTAAAAAACAAAAAACAATGCATTTTGTTATAATTGTTCTATTTTATTGTGAGTTATTTTATTATCTCTTGTAACTAATAGGATCTACGATAAGAACAAATCATCTATCCATCACATAACTATTATTACAGTCTATTGATATAATAATACTATTTTATTATTAGTTATTGTTGTTAATCTCTTATTGTACGTAATAAGATCTACGGTAAGAATGAATCTTCTATCTGTCACATAATTTTTATTCCGATCTATTGATATAATTGTTCTTTTTTATTATTAGTTGTCAACCTCTTGTGACTAATTTTCTAAATTCAAATTTGTATCATATCTATGCACTCAAAGTAATTACAAATGTTAGCATCAAATGGAGGACTTGATTCATACATTGTGTCATAAGAATGTAAGAACAAGACTACTCCCACTGGGCATGAGAAGGCACATAATATGAATCATGAAAACACTGGTCAGACAAATTTCCAAAATAAATGCTTGTCACCAATGTAATAGAGCTTTTAAAAGCCTTTCTAGATTTAACATTCCTTGTCAAGCCTATGAGGGGGAATCTGCAACAGATGCTTAGCTAAGCTGCAGAGATAGTCATCCTCATAATCAAATGAACAGTCACCATGAAAAAGCAGTAAATTAGTAAACACTGTATTTGATACTAGCCTCAATTTTAGGCATCTACTCAGTGTGGGGGAAACATCTCCCATGGATAAGAGAGGTTTGGTTTGGTTTGTTTTACGGCATATTAACCTCAATGAGTTATTTAATGCCGACAAAATCTTTTTTGCTGGTAATATTTTGTTTTGTCAAAAATCTATTTCTGGTAATATTTTTCCTTCAAAAATGTATAGCTGGTAATATTTTTTTTCAAAAACGTATTGCTGATAATAGTTTTTTCTTCAAAAATTTATTGCTGGTAATAATATTTTAGAAAGTATTTCTGGTATTAAAACCTATTTTTACACTTTCATAGTGTTTTTACCAGTTTTGGGGCTAACTATTTGCCCATAGCTGTGACCCTAACAGGTGCTACCACCTTTTTTTTTATTTTGCCTATTTTTTAATTTATTTTTCAGATCTTTTTATATTTGTCTGCACATTTATAAGCAGAACTTTTATTTTTATTTTGCCTATTTTTTAATTTATTTTTCAGATCTTTTTATATTTGTGTGCACATTTATAAGCAGAACTTTTTTTAGTCGAAATAAAAGTTTTTTTCATTTAACTGGTTTAGTTTTTAAAACAAACAGTTTTGAAGTTTATATGGAGAAGTATCCCTGTTTATTTATTTGTGTAATTGTAAATATGGGCTTTTTTTAAAAATAAATGGTTAGCAGGAAACCATAAAGAAAAGCATCAATCCAAAAGGGGGCCATGAATAGAAAAGGGGGCCATGAATAGAAAAAGGGGCCATGAATAGAAAAAGGTTGAGAACCACTTGTCAGATTAAAAACAAACCCTTGAACTTTTTATTACCAAAGGTTGAAAATAAACTGGTCTAGTAGATTAATGGCTTGATTTGGTTAATTTGGTAACATAGTGATTGTGAGTTCAATCTCTGGACTGGGTAGAGCAGACTTAAACTCAGTGGAAATGGAGCAAACAATAACTGTGCATTACTAAATTTGTCAGAATTTAAAAATACTGATTTTTTATTGATTTAGAAGTGGTGGAGGGCTGCAGTTCATAAATAGATCCATGACTTTTTACAGAGTTATTGGACTTATTTGTTATTTACAAATGTCAAGTATGAAATAATGCTTACATTATTCATATCTTCTTTTTTTAATTTTTTAATATTTTTTCCCTTTTTTTTTTTTAAAAGTTTTTTTGAGAGGTGATTTTTTTTCATAAGCACACAAACATGGGAGAAAATAATTATTTATCTTAAATGAAGAACAAACAGATATATACTTTTATCAATTCATGTAAATTTCTGTTCTTCAATAAAAAAAATGTATATATCAATTTGTTCTTATTTAAAAAAAAAAAAAAAAAAAAAGAAACAGGTAAGTTCAGATAACTCTGTAAAAAACCAGGGATCATTTATAATGTATTGATATTATGAACCAACCCACAATCTAAAATGTTAAAAATCAATATTTTTCAATTCTGACAAATGTTGCATCTTAAGTGAGGTTTAATGAATACTAATCTACAAAAAATACACCCCGCAAAATACCCCCCAAAAAATGTTTACCTATTTTTTACAAGTGGACAAATCTAATTAACTAGTACCCCAAAAACATATTTTTGCTCTCTGTTGATGAAAAATACCGCTTAAAAAAAAAAAACAAATAAAAATATTGTACAAACAACTGAAGACATTTAAATAATCGATAATTTCCCGTCAAGACAGACACTGTTAATAGATGGAATATATATTAGACGCATGTTTTGGCTAAAACAAATGCTTAAGGACTGAATAAATAAAACTGCGAGTCATTTACAAAGACACCTGCTAGAGATTAAATATAATACAACATGACCGCCAGATTAGAACTGTCAACACTGACAATGGATAGAGAAGCTTACATCTGTTGGTAGTGATAATGGATAAAGAAGCTTACATCTGACGATACAGACAATGGATACAGAAGCTTATATGAGTTGATAGTGACAAGGGGTAGAGAGAAGCTTATAGCATTGGATAGAGAGCCATTTCTGCTACCTGGACAGCTCCCACATTTTTTTTCTCTATCCACCATCAAGGCATGCCAGCAACAAGACAATGGCTTGAAAATGGACAGTGCAAGGAGAATTGGGTACATGCCTTTCCCACAGAGATGAAATGTGGCATAGCAGTTGGCATAGAAAATGCAATCAGTGTACAGAAATCAAAATCCAGTAAGGACTGAGTGCATCTCTTTGGGAAAGGCATGAACCCAACATGAGAATGAAAAAAGAAATTGTATAAACAAGTGAAAGTTCTGATTTTGTACCAAAAAAATAAATAAATAAATAATTAAGTTGTTATTAGTAAGTAATTAGAAATTAAAATCGTTAACTGCTGCTGGTGTTACCACTTCTTCTAATGCCAGTTAACCGACTGCTAAGGAAGGAACTCCATGGACGAGCAACTTGCCGATCTCTTACCTTCACCTCGAACAGGGATGTGACAGGGCGATGGTCGCTAATCTTATATTCTGGATGATGGCGATAGTGAAGCTGTTTCACTTCAAGAGGGACACCATCAAAACTGTCATCATGTACAAGCCATAATATTCGGTCGCACCAAGCTGGGATACGCTGTTTTTCACTGGAAAAAATAACAGATTTTAAACAAAGATAGTTATATGCCTACTAAGTTTGGTTTACACACACAACCATACTATTTTGGTGAATACTGTGAATAAGCACTCCCCATTGCCTGTTACAATATTTATGATATGCACGTACAGTATTCTGAATAAAATAATTAATTTTTACCTTATCTTGCAGTGATATAGCCTTATGATTAGCATTAGCACTAGCTCTGGGACTTTTCTTTGGAGCCATGGACAAAAATTTATTCTAAATCATAATGTAAATAAGACTGAATTCGAAATTGGTGTTGGAGTGGAAAACAATGCATGAGTGCCACAGGAATTTGAAATAAGAAAATCTGCTGAACATACTTATATAATAATTATAACATAATTATGCTAATTTTTTGTTTTTTGATGATTTTATTATATATATATATATATATATATATATATATATATATATATATATATATATATATATATATATAAATGGACAAAAGTCCAACAATTATTTTAAGACATTTTTTATGTTTATACCTTCTTTTTATAGATACAGATATTTAAGTAAATGTTTATAAAAAAATGTCTTAAAATAATTGTCGGACTTTGTCCATTTATATATATATATATATATATATATATATATATATATATATATATATATATATATAGAGAGAGAGAGAGAGAGAGAGAGAGTTAAATTCCCAGATCAATTCTGTGGACAAAAAAATTCATATATGACAATTGGAAAAAATCTTTATTTTTTTTTCCAACGTATTTCATCTTCCAACTTTTGTCATCTTACACACACACACAGTGTGTGATGGAAAAATTCTTGCCATTTTATATTTTTAATTTTGCGCAAATGTGTTGTTTGTTTTTGATTTTGTTGACTGCACATTATAGCAGGGTCAGTTGAGCACCATCTGTGAGAAAAAGAATAACATGGAGCAATTCACTACACCAGAAATTTGGAAACAGCATGCTGTATTGCTTGGCATTCATGCCAAAAGCTCCAATACAAACATTTCAGAGTGTTTGGGTGTCAATCTGAGGACAGTTCAGAGGATTTGGAAAGAGTTGGAGGATTCTAATGGTGATTACGAAGGTATGGCAGCTCGGATAACTCACTCTAATCATTCTGTTAAGATAAGAAATCCCAAATTTATTGGTGAAGGGTTCAGACTCAACACAGAAACCTACAGCAAGTGCCTGGATGAAGTAGTGCTACTCTGAGTGGCTGCTGAAAAACCCTATGTGTGGCAACAGGACTCTGCACCATACCAAACAAGCAGGAGAACCCAGTCATAGATGTCAGACAATTTCTGCAACTACATCACCCCTTACATCTGCCCACCTAACTCCCCAGGCTGCAACTTCCTTGATTATTATGTGTGTGGCGTAGTTGAGTGAGAGATCAAAAATTCCTTGTAACAATAAAGATGAACAAAAGGCAAGGATTATGAAAGCAACTAATTTAAATAAAAAGACTGTCCAGAAGAGTTGCAGGAGATTCCAAAGTCGCCTGGGGGCTGTGATTGAAACCAATAGTGATTTTATTGAATAAATTTACTCTTTAGTATTTCAAGATATTTTTGTGTAATTTCAGTAAATATATCTGTTATGTCAGTGTTATTTTCATTTTTACATAATTTAGGCAAAAATCTATCCATCACACCCTATGTGTATGTGTGTCTATGTATATGTGTGTGTGTGACTGAGCATATATATATATATATATATATATATATATATATATATATATATATATATATATAAGTAAGCATGATGCATATAGAAAAAGACTTGAACATCTAAATATCACTGACCTGGTATCATAGACATTTGTGTCAACATCAAATTTATATGTGGGAGGAAAAGTGATTGGCCCTTCTTGGAAATCAACAAAAGCCAATCCTTGGCGCCTTGTGTTATTTAGCTGGAATACAGAAACAAATTTACAGATGAAATGAGAAAAGAATCTTATTTTTGTAGATGCATTACATTTTTTCATAAATTCAGAGGAAAACAAACCACATGGATATTCAAAACACATTTCCCGAATATAATTACGTATTACACTGTTATGAATTATGAGTCAACCAACCAATTCAGAACTGACGTTGAATAGTGGGAAACTGGGTCTAGAATTAATTTGTCATCTCTTCTTTTAGGATTTTCAGAAAGTAATTAAATATTTCACTGTTATGTATTATCCAAGTTTCAAGAAAATCTGGGTCTTTTACAGGAAACAAAGATCTTATTGGTAATGCCATATATCATAACAATATGGAATCACCAATATTAACTGAAGTTGTATGCGACCAGTATTGTCACTACCTTATGTAGTGAGCTTATACATAATGTCTACGCATATATATGCTAATTAGTGGTAGCATTAAAGGGACGAATCAACACTAAATTGGTTAAGCATCTTACATTGCAGGGCCTTCTTTCAGACAAGCAATATAGCTTTTGCTTCTCTAGATCAACTGCTGATGTATCAATGATTATTGCTAAAAGAGTCTATCAAGTTTTAGATAAGAATGGTAAAACTCTGGATATTGCTTTGGATATCTCCAAAGACTTTGACAAGGTTTGGCATACAGGTCTTCTTCACAAGTTGAAAGGTTATGGCATTTCCGGATGAATTTTTGAACTGATTCAGTTTTTCTTATCAAATCGCGAAATGCAAGTTATCTTGAATGGCCACTCGTCTAGATCATTTTGCATTAATGCAGGTGTTCCCCAGGGTTCTATCCTTGGACCTATGTTATTCTTAATTTTCATCAATGACCTTCCTGATATCATCAGTCCCAACTATTTAATACTATCTTACTATTAAGACTAATCAGTTCAATAAGGTCAAATTGGCAGCTGATATCAATCAATGACCTACAATACAAAAATGACCTACAATCATTAACTAGGGCAAGAAATGGCATATTAGTTTAGTAAAGTACTAGAAGCTCTAATGAACGTTGAATTGGTTAAGTATCTTACATTGCAGTGCCTTCTTTCAAGCAAGCAATATGGCTTTCGTTTCTCTAGGTCAAATGATGATGTATCGACAATAATTGCAGAAAGAGTCTTTGAAATTTTAGATGAGAACGGTGAAGCTCAAACTGTTGTTTTGAACATCTCGAAAGTGTCAGTGTTTGGCATACCAGTCTTCTTCACAAGTTGAAAGGTTATGGTGTCTCCTCTCCAAGTTCTCCACTGCCTTACCTGGGTATTGAACTAACACTCTTTTGGTCCTTCACTGTATCTAACCAATGCCTTTATCTACTGTGCCATGTGTCCTTGAGGAGGGTAATTAACAGGAGATAACTGATAACTGACATCCATTAAAAACATGGCATGTAGAACTAGAATAGTCTACCCCAATGAATGAAATAAAGGGTTCAGTTTGACATTCCAACCACCTGAAGAAAGCCGGAGCATACAACGGCCGAAACATTGTAATAAATATGGTGACAAAGATGAGGACAATAGTCCAAATAATGCAAATAGTGTACATAATACCTCATCTCAGAAATATAGACAGATGCCGAAGGGCTGAAACGTTGTAATAAATATGGCAACAAAGATGAGGACAATAGTCCAAATAATGTAAATAGTATACATAATACCTCATCTCAGAAATATAGGCAGATATTGTCAGATAAAGCAAGTCACTTTACAATCAACTTCACCTCTAATTCCATGTTAGATAATTAAGATCACCCCTTATCTTACTTCCCCGCTCTCGCAGAACACTTTGTAATATCTCTATCACAACATAAGATGTTTCCAGATTTATCAAAAGCCTTGATTCTAAGACAAAATCCCAGCTTAAGATTAACCCAGAGTTATCACCAATCTTGGCAAAACTGTTTAAATAATCCCTAAAGGAGATGCTTCTAAAGTCTGTCAACTGTATACCCTGCCTTTACGAATACAGGTGAGCATTCATCCCCATCACAATAATCACAATATTGACCCATTTGCCTCCCAAATATTATCAGCAAACTTCCTTGTCATTTTACAAACATACTCTACCTGAAAATTTTACACACACACACATACATACAAATATATACACACCAGGTGCAACAGCAAAATTGTCCAATTGTTAGATTAAGCTTTCAACTATTGTATCTTAGAAATGATTAATATATCTTACTGGCATTCTCAAAGGTTTTTATAACACTATTGGACTCTACTTTGAACAATAAGAATGTATTCAGTTCTAAGTTAAAATGAAGGATTTCTTTTGTTGCTGTGACCTCCTGATCCAGTTTTCCTCTCTACTGTTCTCGCTTTTTTAAACTTATTCACCATTCCCTTGATGGTTCTTGAATGAACTTTGAAGATGGAAGCCAGAGTATGAATGTTGGTACCATTACTGAAGGCTTGGATGATCTTTTTCCTTTCACCATTGCTCAGTTGGGAAGACATAGTGGGGCTGACTATTTTAGCCTGTTCTCTTTCTAGTTGAATAAGTCAAGGGGTTTTTCAGTGATTCTTACAACAAATAGTGTCAAGATGATTAAACATCTGAAAACCTGGAAAAAAGAAACCCAATTCGTTTAGTGTTTTTTAGATATTAAATATTTTGTGGGATGGACAATTATCCCATGCTGTTACACAATTTGGACAATTTTGCTGTTATGCACAGTATATATATATATATATATATATATATATATATATATATATAAAATACTGATTTCAATGGAGGTGTAGGTGGTACAACAGTTATCACTATGGAAAATAAAATCAGCAAGCCAACTTTAAACTCTGATTTGGACAATTTGTGTTCCAGCCTGAAAAAGGCACAAACCCATTTATTCTCCCTCCCCCCAACTATGGGAAAAATAGTAGGGCAAGCAATATTCTGAATTCAACAAGTGGAATGGTGTCAGTTCCTCTTGTCTCCAGTTATGGATAAAAACAGCCATAAATGCTGGTGCTTGAAATCCCACCCTAAGAGTAAATAAAAAATATTTTTTATATTACATTTAACTTTATGTATATCTGACTACGGGAGAGATGCTTACCTGATCATATTGGAGGAGGTAATCATATTCTTTCTTCTCTATCCGCGTTAATACATCTTCTCGTTGGAGTTCATCAATTCGGAAGTTCAAATCACCCATCCATAAGACATAGCTACAAAAAAAATAAAAAAATAAATGAATTAAAATAAAAAAGAAAAAAAACAGAGTACAATTGGGCAACTTCATTAATTGTTAACATTGCAATTGCTCATTACCAGGTTTCATTTTTCATTGAAACAAGTTCCACATTTATGGTTTTATTATTAAATTGGTTCCATTACATTTTGAAATATTACAAACCGTAATGAGAATTGAACTCACAGGTAATGATTTGTGTGATCACTCAACAACAGGTAGGCATTATTTACAAAATTTAGCTGATTATGACATCAAGTCACAAATACCTCGCACCCAATGAGGAACAAACTCACTTGACCAATATTGCTTTATGACAGGCATTTGTTTTTTATACACATGCTAAATAAAATTTGAATTTAAAAATTACTTACTCATGGTCAAGAATATTGTCAACATCGTCATCGCGAAATTTTTGGTCTTCAAGAATACTATTATGATCCTGAAAGAAAAAAATATAAGGATTTATATTATTTAATTAGCAAGCCACTAAGGAAACAATTCGGCATTCATTGATTGAATAGCCAGTTCTACTACAATGGCATTTTTCTTTGATCCCTGCTGATCGGGCTGACATCAAAGTGTAGTATCTATTCTCTGATGGCAATTGTAATATTAGCTGTTCCCTTATAAGGAAACATCCGGCATTCATTGACCAAGCAACCAATTCTACTTGAGTGACATTTTTCTTTGATCCCTGCTGATCAGGCTGGGATCAAAGTGTAGTATTTATTCTCTGATGGCAATTGTAATATTAGCAGTTCTCTTAAAAGGAAACATTTGGCAGTCATTGAACAAGCAACCAGTTCTACTCGAGTTACACTTTTCTTCACACTCTGGTCAATAGGCAGGGATCAAAGTGTAGTATCTGTTCTCATCATCTCTCATAGTAATTGTAATATTAGCTGTTCCCTTATAAGGAAATATTTGGCATTCATTGACCAAGCAACCAGTTCTACTCAAGTTACATTTTTCTTTGATCTCTGTCGATCGGGCTGGGATTAAAGTGTAGTATCTGTTCCCTGATGGTAATTGTAATATTAGCTAATTCCTTATCAGGAAACATTCGGCATTCATTGACCAAGCAGCCAGTGATATACATGCTTTTCTTCACTCTCTGGCTATTGAGCCGGGATCAAAGTAGGATGTGTCCTCTGATGATAATTGTAATATTAGCTGTTCCCTTATAAGGAAACATTTGGCAGTTATTGACCAAACAACCAGTTCTGCTTGAGTTACACTTTTCTTCACACTCTGGTCAATAGGCTGGGATTAAAGTGTAGTATCTATACTCCTCATCTCTGATGGTTAATGTAATATCAGCTGTTCCTTTATAAGGAGATATTCAGCATTCATTGACTGTGCTACTCAAAGTAAACTTTTCTTCACACCCTGGCCATCAATTTGGGATCAAGATATTAGGTGAATATCTGCAAGCACTGAAGCAGATGATTAGAGACTGTAATTCTAGGGCTCTTAAATGTTGGCCTCTAAAAAAACTCCCTTTTTCTCAGAATATGTACTCAGTATGATTTGCAATTGGTATATTATACCATTCCCTCAGTATCTTTCTATATTTCTGAGATGAGGTATTATGTACACTATTTAAATTATTTCGACTATTGTCCTCATCTTTCTCACACAGTGGATAAAGGCGTTGGTTAGATCTAGTGTCAGGACCCAAAGAGTGTGAGTTAAGACAGTGGAGAACTTGGAGAGGGGAATTAACAGGAGATAACTGATAATTGACATCCATTAAACATGGCACATGGAACTAGAACAGTCTACCCCAGTGAGGGAAATAAATGGTTCAGTGCGACATTCCAACCACCTGAAGAAGGCCGAAACATTGTAATAAATATAGCGACAAAGATGAGGATAATAGTCCGAATAATGTAAATAGTGTACATAATACCTTATCTCAGAAATATAGACAGATACTGAAGGGCTGAAACATTGTAATAAATATGGTGAACTAACACTATTTGGGTCCTGTCACTGGATCTAACCAACACCATTATCCACTGTGGCATGTATCCATGACCACCTGAAGAAGGCAGGAGCATACAACGGCTGAAACATTGTAATAAATATGGCGACAAAGATGAGGACAATAGTCCGAATAATGTAAATAGCGTATACCATTACCATTGGATTACAAATTACTCTGAACAGTTCTACTAAAGTTTTACTATACACCTTGGCAATACCAATAGAATATGTTTGAATTTCAATAAAAGTAAACAGTAAATGATCATGACAAAGAAAACTTACAATAATTCGTTCAGGTGTTTGGTCTCGATGTGCTGCCAAATGTGAATTTATAATGCAAATGTTGATGCCATTCAAGTCAAACCGAATACAAATTCCACCTTTGTTGCCCTGGAAAAGAAAACAACAAATATGTCTGAGAATTTCATTTGAAATTCAAAGAAATTTCAAACATTTCAAAGTAAGGGATTCTTCTGTAGATTGACATGTTTTTTTCCATTTCCAGATTTAGACTTGGCAAAGACCTAAGCTATGAAGAAAAATTTGGAAAAAACAAACAAAAATCCTTAAATGCAATTATGTTGTTTAAAATGAATGAAATGTCGACGTCTGACGTTTCGGTTTAATAAACCTTCTTCAGGACAATATTCATTAAAATACAATTCAGTTCAATTTGACAAAGACGATGGACATAAAAAACAAGTCTTATCCAAAACAGATAACTGAAAATTTTAAAATGATCAGCTTTCCGTTTAGCATGGTCACGTTATAAATCTTGGATGCCCTTCTTAAAATAAGACGCCCAAATTTTAAAAGCCTTTCACTATAAATTCTGAAATATTTCATAGCTGTGACAGTATTAAACAGGCGCTGGTAAGTTGGGAAAAAAAAAAGTCTTTCAAAATAAACTGCAAACAAGAAAGAAAACAATGTTTTCCGATAGACTGAAAGTATACCAATAACAAAAAAAAACAAGAAAAATGCTATTTTTCTCGACAGACTGAAACTATACTGATTACAAAGGCTGGAGGAATGAGGGAAGAGGTTATTTGTTTTCTTTTCTCTCTCCCCCTCAGGATTTGAGTGCTGACAACAACTAACATAGAATCCATCTGTTTATAGTCAACTTAATTTTAAGCGACAGTATTTTCATAAGAGTTCACTCGACCCCACATGGAAGAATAGATTATATCTTAACAACCTCAAATGCCAACACAAGGTGGTAGCTATGGACAAATAGCAAACCCCCCACTGCCCCAACAAAAATAAATTCCAAATAATATAAATAATGTAAAAAAATAAAGCCCCACGAAACTATAAAAATACATTTTTATAGTAAAATACCAGCAATAAATTTTTATTAAAATTGCCAAAAATAGATTTTATTGCAAAATGACCAACAATACATTTTTCTGTAGTTGGAGGCATACAATTACATTCAAAATATATTTAGTTGAAGCCATAAAATTGTGTACAAAATATTTAGATTTCAGCATTAAATAACCCATAGAGATGTTGATATGCCACTAAACAAAATCAACAAACCAACCAATCATCTACCATGTATTCAACTGTGAAAGCAGAATAACAATTATCATATTTTTATTACTTCAAAGCTGAAGAGTTTATATGCCATTAAACAAGTAAATCAATCAATATAGAAACCTTTTGCCTGACATCAGTATGGCTGATGCTAACCTCCAAGAGAACAACTCTTTGCATCTTCTTGGCCTCACATTTTCCACTTACCTGAAGTGGAATGATTATATTGAAACACTTGCTATGTTTGCTGCTAGAAAACTCAGTTCAGTGTATCATGGCAGATAATTTTTATCATCAAAACCCATCTTCCTCATTTTATAAATTTATCATTTGTCCGTGCATTGAATATCATTGCCATATCTGGTCTGGTTTTCATACTGTATATCTTTAGATTCTTGACAAAATCCATAGAAGTGTCTGTAATGTAATTGGTCATGACCTGTCATCTCAACTTCAGTCACTTTCTTAACAATGGGACATGGCTTCCCTCTGTCTTTTCTACAAACATTTTCATAGCAATTGTTCTGATAATCTTTTCTCCTTGGTGCATCGACTGCATGAATTTAATCATATTACTACATTGGCAATTAGGTCTCACTTGGTTGAACTACCTAGATGCAACCGTATGTCCTATTCTAATAGTTTCTTTTCTTGCACTTCTCACCTGTGGAACTCCCTTCTGATTTCTTGCTTCCCTGCCACCTACAATCATGTAAAATTTAAATGCAATGCTAATCGCTATCTTCTGTCTTCCTGTATTCTGTTCTTTTACTGTCCTTTTTCATTTCTTTTTCATTCTCAGTAACCCCTCATCACCTAGTAGCATTATCACCTTACTTAGAGCAAAATGATTAAAAAAAAAAGAAAAGAAAAAAAAGCTGATAACAAACAGTAAAATTTGTTTAAATCCGTTCTGGTGTTCCTGCTACTCATCTTGAGGTACTTGACAAAATCCAAAGAAGGATCTGCAATGTAATTGATTCTGAGCTGGCATCTTGATTTCAGTCACTTTCTCACTAATGTGATGTGGCTTCCCTCTGTCTTTTCTACATATATTTTCATGGCAACTGCTCTGACAAGCTTTTTATCCTGGTGCACCCATTACATGAATTTAAGTGTGCTACTAGATTGGCATCAAGGTTCCTCCCTTTTACTGTTGAAATAGTTAAATGTAATCGCCACTTCTATTTCAACAGTTTCTTTTCTCGCACTTCCCACCTGTGGAACTCCCTACCCTTTAATTATTTCACTACAATCTTCAAAAATTTAAATGCAATACCAATCACTATCTTCTACCTTCTCGAATCCTGTACATCTTTCATCCTTCCCTCAATCCCCCCTATAACCAGTCTTTTCTCTCACTTTCACTCCATGTAACCAACTGCATACTAGAGACAATCCCACCTTGCCTGGGGTGAAATAATTAAAAAAAAAAATTTTTCTAAATACATTGATTTTGTGGAAGACAGTCTAATTAATCAGGCAGTGAATTATGGCTCTCCACAGAGTTTTTTTCTTTTTTATATGAGAATTGCAATTATTTCTTGGAAAAAAATAGTGAAGTGGATTCCAGTTGACTTTATTATAGCTCTCATTTATTTTTGTTGTTTAATAGTACAAGCCATATTAGATATCTTCACTTTTTAAAATTCTTTCCTACATGTAGCAATAAAGATCAATGTAAGAATTTGCGTCCTGGGTATGACAATAAACTACATCCGCGTCCTGGGTTAGACGATAAACTACGTCCAACAGCAAGGCCTCTGATCAGGAGGTTTTGAGGAACATGGAACCACATCTTAATTGCTGTTGTTCCCAGGTCCACCCTGACCCGAGGTGGTAGCACCTGTTAGGTTCCCAGCTATGGGCAAATAGTTAACCCTAAAACTAAGGTAAAAAACATTGTAAAATATTACCAGCAATACGTTTTTGAAGAAAAAAAACTATTGCCAGCAATACGTTTTCGAAAAAATAATATTTCCACCTATACATTTCTGAAAAAATAATATTACCAGCTATACATTTCTGAAAAAATAATATTTCCACCTATACATTTTTGAGGAAAAAAATATTAACAGAAATAGATTTTTGAGAAAACAAAACTTGCAAGCAGGACAGTTTGTAGTAGCTTTCTATGGAAATTTTCAATTTCTATGATTTAAAAGCAGAATCCTTTCTTGTATAGCTAATGGACATATCATGTCGAAACACCAGTTCACATATGAACACCAAAGTTAAGCAATATTGAACCTGGTCAATATTGAGATAGGTGACTGCCTTGAGAATACCAAGCACCGTACACTTAGATGTGAGGATGGTATGGCTTACTACCATAGCACATTGAAACATTGCTTCTTACATGATCACTGAAGTTAAGCAATGCTGAGCCTGGTCAGTATGGGTGATCACTTGGAACACCAGGTTCTGTAAGCTTGGATGTGTGGGTGGTATGGTTTATGGTGATATCACATTGAAATACCATTTCTCATATGATCACCACAGTTAAGCAATGTCAAGCTTGGTCAGTACCTCAATAGGTGACCATTTGGGAATACAAAGGTGATGTAAGCTTGGATGTGCAGGTGGTATAGTTTACAGTGATATCACATTGAAATACCATTTCTCATATGATCATCACAGTTAAGCAATGTCAAGCTTGGTCAGTACCTCAATAGGTGACCATTTGGGAATACAAAGGTGATGTAATTTTTGGATGTGCACTTTATCATTTGGCTATTATGGTGATATCACATTGAAATACCATTTCTCATATGATCACCACAGTTATTTTTCAATGTCAAGCTTGGTCAGTATCTCAATGGGTGACCACTTGCGAATACAAAGGTGATATAAGCTTGGATGTGCAGGTGGTATGGCTTATGGTGATAGGAAAGTTGAAACACCACTTCTCATATGATCACCAAAGTTCAGCAATATTTTCATTTTTCAGTGATTCTTATGACAAACAGTGTCATGATGGCTAAGTGTCTTATCTGAAAACCTGGAAAAAAGAAACCCAATTATTTTAGTGTTTTTTTTTAGGTATTAAACATTTTGTGGGAGGGACAATTATCCCATGCTGTTACACGATTTGGACAATTTTTCTGTTACAGTTGGTGTGTGTACATATATTACACACACAGTCACACCATCCTGGGTATGAATAACTAAATCTATGTCCTTGGCAAGACAATAAACTATGTCCAACAGCAAGGCCTCTGATCAGGAGGTTTTGAGGAGTGTGGAACCACCTTTTAATTGCTGGTGCTCTCAGGTCCACCCTGACCCGTGGTGGTAGCACCTGTTAGGGTTCCAGCTATGGGCAAACAGTTAACCCCAAAATTGTGGTAAAAACACTATGAAAGTGTAAAAATAGGTTTTAATACTAGAAATACTTTGTAAAAAATTATTACCAGCAATAAATTTGTGTAGAAAAAAAAAACTATTACCAGAAATATACTTTTGAAGGAAAAACATTACCTGAAATAGATTTTTGACAAAAACAAAATATTACCAGCAAAATAAATTTTGTCGGCATTAAATAACTCATTGATGATGATGATATGCCAAACCAAACCAAACCAAAACTTTACAGATAAAGGCTCTGTAGAACAACATTAGACCTGTCATCAGGCTGTCGACATGTCAAAACAGCTACTGTTGAGTTAAAAAATGCATTTCTGAGATATATTAAACTTACAATAAATAATATTTGTTTCAAATCAGATGAATTACACTTTAAATCAAAGTATATTTTATTTTTGGAAGATTATTTTAATAAATAGAATTACATTGCGATGAAAGACTACTAAAAAAAATGGGCGATAATCAACTACTTTTTAAAAAAC